ATGCCTTGCCTTGAACTTCTGTGTTATTACCTGGGTAAGTTCCCCAGAGCATCGACGTTCCCCCTTCACGTTTCCTCTTGTGAAGACTATAGGGCAATGTAATCCTTACAACCATTTGTAAGCTTCCCACCATAGAAGAACAAATGCTTGCTGGACACCAGGAATCAAACCATATAAGGAAGTGATACTGTCCTGAAGACCCCTGATCGCACACCTGCACTCCATCCCCATTCCATACCCACCAGCTCAGCCCCAAACCCACTGACGACAAGAGATTCCCACCCGTGACTGCACATAAGGATGAAACTGCAGCTCCTGAGTGCTGCCATCAGCCCCTTGGCTCCTGGCTGTGCAGCCCTTCCCTTTGAATATCCCACTCCACCCTCCTTTCCTTAAATAAACTCAGTTTTCTTTAATCTCTTCTGAGATGGCAATTTAGCCTGACTGCCCACCACGTTCACCTTCACTTCTCTTCACTAACACCTGTGTCCTCTCTCCAGGAAAACAGCTCGCTCCCCATTGCGACACTGAAGATGCTGTCCACGCTCCACCTTTCTCCCCACACCTCTATTCTCTAATTCAAAATGGCCGTTCACATAGCCAACTCCTGACTCTAAGCCTTTGCATGTGCTAACCCCTTTCTTAGAATTCCCTTTCTCTGCTTCTACTCCTCTTTAGTTATGCTTTTCCCAGAGGGCTCAGCTCACGTCCTGGGTTTCTCATGGGCCATCTCTTAGCTCTACAGGTGACAAAGGCTTTTTTATGCTCCCTCTATTGTTGCTATTAACGTTTGATTCCACAGGAACTAGATGGATTAATCCACTATTTTATGAGGAAAAAAGAGAGGGAATATATAAGCAAGAGCATGAACAGACTTTTGTGTAAACATGTGATTTAACTGCAGTGATTAAAAAAAATCCATGAGTCCCATTCTGATTCTAAATTAGATAGATAGATAGATAGATAGATAGATAGATAGATAGATAGATAAGCAATTAACAGAAGAATGCTAACTAATGAATGTAGAGGGGGTGATATAAACAGAAAATCCTCATATAAAACCACCATAATAATATTTAACTCAGTGAAGAATCATCAGGAGATACTCAAACCATGGGGTGAAAGACAGTGGGGGAGCAGGATAGTCACTAGTCTCATACGTGTTACCCCACAGACTACTTACTAGTCAGGAAGAGAAAAGGTGCCCTGACAAAGTCGAATACCACCCTTCTATTGAGATTAACAGTATCACTGATGGAAGACAAAACAACTGCAGAGACCCCTCATGTGATGCACCGACAAAGACACAACACAGTCCCCCCAGCACTCCTGCTAAGATGTTTTAAGATGAATATAATCATGACGCAAGAGTCAGAAATACCAATTTGGGTGCACCTCCTGCAAAGCAACTGGCTTAGACACTTCAAAAATGTCATTGCCATGCAGAAAAGGCTAGAGAGCCCTTCTAGATTAAAGGAGACCGAGAAGACATGACAAGTAAATGCAATGCATGATCCTCAATTGGATTTTGGCCTTAAAGAAAGAAATGGCTGTCAGGGACATGATGAAGGCAATTGGGGACTGTTGACTATGGGTAGCTATCAGGTAACACATATTGTACCAATGTCAGACTTCTTGTTTGATAAGCCTGCTCTGGTGATGGTGAAGGAAATGTCTGGGATCCAGAGTTTATGGGTATTTACATGGTATTTATGGGTGTCACAGTGAGTGCAACTAACTCTTTACTAACTCAGTGGGGGCTCCAATATGGCAAAAGGTTAACAGTTGATGAATTTCAAAAAAGTAATAATGTCTGAGGCTGTGCAAGAGAAAGTGAGTGTGTGTGTGTATGAGAGAAAGAGATTGCGTTTGAGCATATGTGAGGGTGAGGGAGAGAGTCAGGGATAAAAGGTAAAATATGTGAGGGAGTCTGAGAAAGAGAAAGACTGTGAAGAAGAAAGAATGTAGGGAAGAGGAAGCATCTAGTATTTCTGGACCAGTTGGCTCCAGGACATCCCTAAGGTCTCTACGGGTCTCTCTGAGTCACTGACCTGTTCGGATGCAGCCAATGGCCACCAGCCACCACTCAGGCACTCGAGGCAGAATCAAGGCGAGACGGTCTCCCTGCTGCAGGCCACAGGTCTGCGTGAAGACGTTGGCTGCGCGGCAGGTGAAGTCTGTCAGCTCTCTGAAACTCCACTTCACTTCGTCTCCTTGGCTGTTCACCCACCACAGGGCTGGGTTGGGGCCTCTCTTGCCTTCCTGGTCAAGATCACACACCATGTGTTACTTCCTGCTTCACAGGAAAACGGCTCTTATTTCCCCAATCCACTGTCACAGTCACATTCCAGTATGAGCATAGCTCAGGAACTGAGACCCCATTTTATATTATTTATTATTATTATTATTTTTTAATCCTCACTAGAGGATATTTTTCTATTGATTTTTAGAGAGAGTGGAAGAGGGAGGGAAAGACCCATTGACTTTTAGAGAGAGTGGAATAGGGAGGAAAGACAGAGAAAAATATCGATATGAGAGAAACACATCGATTGGTTGCCTCCTGTATGGGCCTTGGCCAGTGCCCGGGCCCGGGAAGAGCCTGCAATCGAGGCATGTGTCTTTGACACGACTCAAACCTGGGACCCTTTGGTCCATAGGCAGACACTCTATGCACTGAGCCAAACCAGTTAGGGCCTGAGACCTCATTTTAAATCATTTAAAGTGCCAAGAAAAGTTAGGGTGTGATCCAGCCAACTTCTTATGGTCTACTGTAGCCACCTCCTCTCAAGTCATATGAAACCATGAATAGTTTCATGTCTCCAACTGAAGACTTAAAGCTCCATCCCCACGTGTCTTAGTTCCATGCAGACAGTGCGTTCCTCTTTGTGCCCCAGCATTCTCATCTAGGAAGTGGGGGCATTATTACCTAGAAGGTCGTAAAGTCTAAATGAGTTATTTAAAGAGCAAAGTATACATAACAGTAGGTGCTCAATAAATATGACTATTATTATAATTGCTACACAATAGAAGAGGCTTATTTAGGCTCTGAATATTTTGTGGAATTAATTTTTAAAATTTAGTGACATCTAAAGGTGAAATTCATAAGAAGCAGACTGGGAAGGTCCAGGCCCCTATTTCTTTAGAGAAACATCAAGTAAACAGACTAAAATGGCTTTGTTGGGGCTCTTAAAACAGTCAAGGATCTGCAGCAACCAACAAATGCCCAAACAGCTAAAGCCACACTCAGAACGGTAGGGCATGTGACGTTTGTGTTCACTTTTTTAAAAAAATATATTTTATTGATTTTTTACAGAGAGGAAGGGAGAGGGATAGAGAGTTAGGAACATTGATGAGAGAGAAACATTGATCAGCTGCCTCCTGCACGCCCCCTACTGGGGATGTGCTCACTTTTGCACCCCCCTTCTCTGATGTGGTGCCTCAGGGTTGGGAGGAGGTGGTGCCAGGTTCCCAGCCCATTTTTGGGACAGAAGGAAAAGAGTGAAATTTATTTGCAATATTCAGTGGGGAGTGAGATGTAGCTGGAAAGGAATTTACTTATTCATTTATTTATAAATTCCCTAATAAAAAGTAATGTTGAGTATCTTTTTGTATGCTTGTTTGCTGTCAGTGTGACTCTAAAGTGAGATGTCTGTTCAGAATCTCTTGCCAATTTTCTAAGTGGGTTGTTTCTTTTTTATTGTTGAGTTTGAGTCCTTTGTATATTTTGGATATGTCTTTTTTTTCTTTTCTTTATATATCTTTATAATCATTATTATTATTACTAGAGGCCCGGTGCATGAAAATTCATTCACTGGCGGGGAGTCCCTCAGCCCGTCCTTCCCCCTCTCACAGTCTAGGAGCCCTCAGGAGCAGGAGGCGACCCGGCGATCAGGGGAAGGCAATGCCTTATCAAACCTCTGCTGCTGCCACTGCTGGCTAAGTCTTTCACTATCAGTAATTACTTTAAATGTAAGCAAACTACATTTCCCAAAAACAAAGATTGGCAGGATATAACTATATGCTGTCTACAAAATTATCCTATATAATAAAAGGCTAATATGCAAATTGACCAAACAGCAGAAAGACTGGTTGCTATGACATGCACTGACCACCAGGGGGCAGATGCTCAACACAGGAGGTGCCCCTGGTGGTCAGTGTGCTCCCACAGAGAGAGTGCTGCTCAGCCAGAAGCCGGGCACACAGCTGGCCAACGCAGTGGTGGCGGCGGGAGCCTTTCCCACTTCTGCTGCAGGTGGGCAGTAAGGAGCGAAGGGTCCCAGACTGCGAGAGGGATGTCTGACTGCCAGATGAGGTCCATCCCCCGAGGGGTCCCAGACTGTGAGAAGGTGCAGGCCAGGCTGAGGGACACCCCCCCCACCCCAGTGCACGAATGTCATGCACCGTGTCTCTAGTAGAATTAATAAAACCAATTTTAAAATTCAGATTTTTTACAATAAAATGCTAACAATATAATATCAATTTATATAAGCAAAACCATATTTACATTATAATTCAAATCCTATATAATAAAAGCCTAAGTGGCCTCACGTGCGACATCACAAGATGCCACCACAAGATGGCCGGCAGGGAAGGGCAGTTGGAGGCGATCGGGCCAGCAAAGGAACACAGTTGGGGGCAACCAGGCCTGCAGGGGAGGGCAGTTGGGGTGACCAGGCCTGCAGGGGAGGGTAGTTGGGGGCAATCAGGCCAGCAGGGGAGCGGTAAGGAGGCGATCAGGCTGGCAGGCAGAAGTGGTTAGGGGCAATCAGGCAGGCAGGCAGGCGAGCGGTTAGGAGCCAGCAGTCCCAGAGTGTGAGAGGGATGTCCGACTGCTGGGTTTATGCCTGATCCCACAGGGATTGGGCCTAACCCGGCAGTCAGACATTCCCCAAGGGGTCCAGATTGGAGAGGTTGCAGGCCGGGCTGAGGGACACCCCACCCCGTGCATGAATTTCATGTACCAGGCCTCTGGCATAATAACAATTATTCACTTATTCATTCAATATTAGTTAGATCTTATTATTTCTTAGGCACTGTTCTTAGACCAAAAGGATAACATGGTAAACAGGGCACACACATGTGCCCATATGTAAATGTTTTAAATATTTATGGCCAATTTTCTTGTTTAACTCAACTGTCTTCTTTTCCCCAAGTGTTTTATAATAAACATGGTTTTTGAAAAAATATTTTTTTATTCCCCAAACAAAACATGTTCAGCGTAAAAATTCAGGCAATACAGAAACTTATGAACAGAAAAGGTTCTTATAAACAAAAAGATTTCTTCAAATTTCTCATCACATTTTTACTCCCTGAATGTTAGCACTGAAAATGGCTTAGTGTATATATTTTCCAGCAATCCCCACTCCCCCAGATGCACAAACATGATCCTTTGACTCAGATGATTGGAACCAAAGAATGTATCTCATCTGAGATAAGATTAATATATGAGCATATACATGTGTGTCTTTACAGCTATAAAAAGAATCAGTGCTGTGAAAAAAATTCTTGCCCAACAGGTTAAAGAATATTAACAAGTATTGATGACAAGTGGTGCACTGCTCATATACAGGGAGCCTGGTACAGTACACAAGATTTCTGCAGGATTTTAAAAATGATGGAGAAGCTGGTATATCAAGTAGAAAACAATTGTTGCTCAGAATTCTGACTGTGTTAGATCCTAACTCCTGCACCTTGAAGAAGATATCATTTTAGTAGTTATGTATTTTGTGCTAAAGATTAATTTGATAATGTGATATTGACATGAAGCTGTTTTTGAGAGGATAAAATACAACCCTTAAACTGGATTTGAAACTTAAAGTTTAATGGGGTGAGATCTGAAACCAAGGGATATTGAGAAATAGTTTTAAAAGATAAAACACTGAGTAAGTAACTCAGCAGTAGAAAGAAATGAACAGCCCCGGCCAGTGTGGCTAGAGTGTCTGCCCTTGCTCCGAAGGGTTTTGGGTTTGATTCCTGGTTAAGGGCAAGTACCAGGGTTGCAGGTTTGATCCCGGCCGGATACCAACTAATGGATGTGTCTCTCACATGTCCATGTTCATCTCTCTTTCTCCTTCTCTTTTCTCCTACCCCCCTCCCACTCCCTCTCTAAAACAAACAAACAAACAAACAAACAAAAACAATGAAAAAATATCTTCTGGTGAGGACTAACAAAAAAAGAACAAGAAAAAAGGACACAAACAACTAATCCACAAAAACATTACACTGAGTAAAAGAAACCAGACACAAAAGGGTGCAAGAGCAGGTCAGTGGTTGCCTGGGGCCCAGGGTGGGGTGGGCGGGGATTGGCTGAGAACTGACAAAAGAAAGCTTTTGCAGTGATAAGAGTAGTCTAGAACTCAGTTTCAGGTGTACAACCTAATGATTAGACATTTATATAACTTATGAATATAACATTTTATGTCAATTGTAATTGAAAACAATTTTTAATGATAAAAAAATAAAGCCCTGACAAGTTTGGCTCAGTTGTTAGAACGTAAGCCTGTGGGCTGAAGGGTCTAGAGTTAGATTTCCAGCCAAGGGCATGTACCTCAGCTGTAGGTTCATTCCCAGACCCTGTCAGGGCAACCAATGGATGTGTCTCTCTCACATCAATGTTTCTCTCTCTCTCCTCTTCCTCTCACTCCCTTCCCCTGCCTCTAAAAAATCAATGGGAAAAAAATATCCTTGGGTGAGGATAAATAAAGACATCCAAGTCACAATAAAACAAACAAAACCTTCACACATGTGAGTTTATTGCAGGTAGAAAAGGTTTGTCTCATATTCTTTAAAATTTTTATTTATTGATTCATTTTAAAGAGAGAGGATGTGAGAGAGGGAAACATTGATTTGTTGTTCCATTTATTTATGCATTCATTGGTTGATTCTTGTATGGGCCCTGATCAGAAATCAAACCCACAACCTTGGCGGGTTGGGACGATGCTCTAAGTGAGCTACCCAGCCAGAGCGACAAAGCACTTTCTTTTGTTTTATAATGAATTCTTTGCCAACTTACACACACACACACACACACACACACACACACACACACAAACACAATCAGGAGAGGGCACATAAAAATGTTGGGTTTCTAACTTAAGGGAGGTTCGTTTTATGGGAGGTTCAGGGAGCAGAGTGGACCCCAGTGGCGTGCCCTCTGCAGAGTCTTTAATAGGAGCAGCACCAAGATCTGTAGATTGTAAGGCAGGTTTCAAATTAATTTACTCCACAAACGTTTGTTGAGAAACTTCTAGGTGTCAGACACCACACATCCCTAGAGAGACACTGATCAT